CCACCGGGCCGGCCCAAGGGCCTTGAATTTTTTAACCAGCCTGACAATCAATGGCTATTAATTCCAGTGTTTAGTTCACTATATTTAATATAATTCCAATAATGTTGAGGTTAAATCTACCATTTCATTAGTTATTTTCTATTTGTTCTTCATTCCTTTTCCTCTTCTCCTGTCTTCTTCTGGAGTATTTTTTATTATTCTACTTTATCTCAAGTTGGTTTATTAGTTATACCCTTTTGGGTTTTGTGTGTTTTTTCCCCAGGGGATTGCTGTACAGTTTACTATCTGAGTTTTTTAATTTATCATAGTCTACCTTCAAATAATATTATATCACTTCACATATAATGTATGTACAACAGTATATTCCCAATTATTTGCTCCCACCCTTTGTGCTATTGGTAGCATACACTCTACTTCCATATGTTATGAATTCCATAATATATACTTGTTTTGCTTTATCTTTTAAAGAAATTAAGAGTTAAGAAAATGTAATTTATATTTACCCACATATTTATAATTTCTAGAGCTCTTAAGTTCTTTGGATAGATCTAAATTTCCCTAATGCTTGCCTGAAGTACTTCCTTTAACAATTCTGGTAGTGGAAATTCTGCTGGCAATGTATTCTCAGGGGTTTTATTTGTTTGAAAGTATTTCCTCATCATTTTTGAAACATATTCTTGCTGGGTAGAGGATTTTTTTCATTAAGCGCTTTAAAAGACTTCATTCTGGCTTGCCCAGTTTCTGATGAGAACTCTAATCATTCTTATCTTTGTTCACTGTTATGCAATGAGGCTTTTTCCCCATTGGCTGCTTTAAAGATTTTTCTTTTCATCCCTGTTTTTCAGCAATTTGATTCTGATGTGCCTTCATGGGGTTTTCTTTGTGTTTATCCCGCTTGGAGTTAAGCTTCTTGAATCTGTAGGTTTATAGTTTTCATCAAATTTGGAAAATTTTTAGCTACTGTATCATCGGGTATTTTTTCTATACACCCTCTCTGACTCCCAATTATGCTTATTTTAGGCAGCCTAATATTGTCCCCAACAGGACATGTTTTTCCCCAGTCTTTTTTTTTCTATGCTTCATTTTGGATAGTTTGTGTTGCTAAGTCTTTAAGATTGATAATCTTTCTACTGCAGTGTGTAATCAATTGTAAATCCCATCCAGGGAAGTTTTCACTTGAGATATTCCCACTATATGTTCTATTTGGTTTTTATCTTGTAGTTGTTGTTGGTTTTGGTTTGGGGTGTTTTTTCTGGCAGCTAGACACTAAGAGGATCTGAACCCTTGACCTTGGTGTTACCAGCACCATGCTCTAACCAGTCCCCTGGTTCTTTTTTTATACATTTCCATTTCTCACCTCATATGTTCATATTTTCCTTTACATCCTTGAGCACATAAAGCATATTTATAATAACTGTTTTAACATCCTTATGTATTTATTCCATCATGTTTGTTATTTCTGGGCGTTTCTTTTGACTGACTTTTCTCCTCACCATGAGTCACATTTTCCTGCTTTTTCTTATGTAGAGTAATTTTTTATTGTTTGCCAGACATTGTAAATTTTACAATGTTTAGTGCTGGATTTTGTCATACTTCTCTAAAGACTCTTCCCTATTGTTTTTATACTTATGCTTAAGACAATCACGGAGTACTCCAAACCTCCAAAAAGCAGCAGTGACTTGAGAGAGGAGATATAGTTTCTAATTGTTTCTCAGCCACTACCTTGGACAAGTCTCCTCCTCTAAGAAAGTTATTACCCCCGCCCCCCAAAATCATCTTTATAGTCTGCTGTAGTTTGAATGTCCACCAAACTCATATTAAAGTTTAATCCCCATTATATCAGTATTAAGAAAGTAGAATATCTGACTATGAAATTTGAAAGGTAAGGCCTTTCAGAGGTGATTAGATTGTAAGGGTTCTGCCTTCATAAACGGATTAATCCATGAATGGGCTAATGAATAAATGGGTTACCACAGGAGTGGCACTAGTGACTTTATAAGTAGAGCAAGTAAGCACGTTAGAATGCTCAGCCCTCTCACCAGTTGATTTCTTGTGCCATCTCAGGACCCCTCAGGACCAAGAAGGTGGCCCTCACCGGATGTGCCCCCTCAACCCTGGACTTCCCAGACTCCAAAACTGTAAGAAAGAATTTCTTCTCTTTATGACTTATCCATTCTCGGGTATTCTGTTATAAGTAACAGGACACAGAATACACAATCCATTTCAAATCTATTTCCACGACCAAGAAGGTGGCCCTCACCAGATGTGCCCCCTCAACCCTGGACTTCCCAGACTCCAAAACTGTAAGAAAGAATTTCTTCTCTTTATGACTTATCCATTTTCGGGTATTCTGTTATAAGTAACAGGACACAGAATACACAATCCATTTCAAATCTATTTCCAGGCTATAATGCCAAAATCCCAGCAGAGACAGTCCTTTAAATGCAGCCAAGAAACAGTACTTACCTGCCAAAAATTTCTAAAAAAATAATCTCATCCTAACTTTCAGAACCTGACAGAGAAGACATATCTGACTGGTGCCCATGTAGAAGTAAACATTTTAAATCTTACCCTTTCTCACTTAGTAGTGTCTCCATTTCTGTAACGTAACACTCATCACAAATGGCAAGATACTCCATCACCAGCTTTGCATCCTTTTTATACGCTTTACCAATGGTTCCCTTATTGGGTTCAAACTGAACAACGCTGACTGTTTTGTATGAAGTAGTCAAGGAATCCAAAAACACAGCACTGCCTCAGTATTTCGGAAAATGGTCTCGAGAATGACCAGTCACCAACTTAAAACCACCACCAGTTCTCTATTAGTATCCCAGATGCTGTTTATGTTGATTTCAAGTACAAGATGAAACAACTACCCACAAAACCATTCAGACAAACCTCACTCAAACATAAGTAAACAACATCAATTCCGACCTTTTCAGTGATAGTGAGATAAAAGGGTTATTATCTAATAAGCAATATAACTCAATCCACAGCATAAAAATTTCTAAAATGCCTAACACAATAAGATCTATTTCCGGTTACTGGCCTACTCCTAAGAAATCAGCTGACAACCTCACTGCCTGTTAAAGGAAGAAAATTTCTATTTTGCTAATTTACAGATCAAGTGAGCTAAATCCTCATTATTTCATCTACCATAAAATGGTATTCATCTTTTAACAGAGAGAGTATTTATTGGTACCCATTATTTAAAGAGCACGTAGGTAGGTGCAGGTATGGAGAAACACATTTTGGAAACGACTAAGAAAAACTGGCAAACACTCTGAAATACATTCAGAGCATGCTTCTTTTAAGAGCCAAACATTGAGTGGGCACATGTCTGACTACAAGTACAGGGAACAGGAAAGGAGTATGAGATAGGTAAAATAATAGGTTTAAACAAGCATTACCACAATATCCAAAACATCTCAATTTATCCACAGAACAAGGTACAACACTCAGACTTATACATTAGCAAGATGTTTACACTATAGTGCTGAGTCTCTGAGTGACCAGAAAGGATATCGGCTCTTTCAGACGTTTCTCAGCTACAAGTGGAACTTTGGTGGCTCGCGCATGACAGGAGAGGTCATAACAGGAACGATCCGCACATCCAACAATCTCAATCCAGCCCTAAAAAGACATAATTAATAAAAACATTACTTATGTTTGGTTAGTTCACAAATATATGCAGACTATAACAAACTCTTTCATACATTCAAGGATGATTCAGTTATAGAATCTCCACTCAAATTTTATAAATATTTGAAAAGGGAACAGTTTCAAATATTAGGCAGCTAACAAACCTATAAAATATAATTCACACCGTACACAAGTAGTCTTATCTTCTGGACAGATTTATATTGCCATATTGTGACTGTGGGGTACACTAATATATTCTAAGGTTTCATTATGAAAATTAAATGTGAACCTAAACAAAACCTGCAGATTTGGTTTAAATTTGTGACCAGGACTCAAAATGAATTTGACTGAAACCACTGCCTCTCTTTGGTTAAAGTGTTTACAGTCCTCACAATTGACATCAGACGGCTGACTAAACGCATACCGTAGCTGGCTGTCACAGTGGGTATTTGTGATCAATCCACTTTCTTTTCTGAAAAAAAGAGCTCGGTAAAGAGTAGGTAAAGTTTAGGTTACAGAGTAAAACTAAGTAACAGCGTTACAATCACATAATGTTGTATTGTTAATACACACGATACTTTTAAAAAGCAAAATTTAAATTATTTCCAAAGAACCTACAATGGACTAAATGCCTATGTCCCCCCAAAACTAACGTTGAAATTCTCACCCCCAATGTGATGGTATTAAGAGGACGGGCCTTTTGGGAGGTGATTAGGTCATAAGAGTAGAGCCATAATCTTTGGGATTAGATTTTATAAACTCCATAACCAATGAGATTTATAAAAGGGATTCAAGAGATCTCCCTTCTTTCCATCATGTGAGGACAGAACAAGAACATGGCAGTCTGCAACTCGAAAGAGGGCCCTTACCAGAACCAGACCATGCTGGCATCCTGATTTCAGACTTCCAGCCTCCAAAACTGTGAGAAATAAATGTTTGCTGTTTAAAAGCCATCCAATCTATGGTACTTTGTTACAGCAACCTGAACTAAGACACACACTTAAGAACGCATTATTTGAGTAAGATCAAAAGAATCTGTAAGGGCCGGCCCGGTGGCGCACTGCGCTAGTGCGCCGCTTGGGAAGCGCGGCAGCACTCCCGCCGAGGGTTTGGATCCCACATACAGACTGGTTCCCGCTCACTGGCTGAGCGAGGCGCGGGGGCAACACCGAGGGTTGCGATCCCGTTGCCGGTCCCGGTCCAGTGCGGGGACGACACTGAGGGTTGCGATCCATTGCCGGACATGGAAAAAAGACAAAAAAAAAGAATCTGTAAAATGCTTATTTTAGAGGATATCTAGTTAGACTCCATGAATTTATTTTTTGCCTTTG